AGACAGACTGTAACCAACAATATTTTGCCCACATGCCCATCTGCTCTGTTGAATCAAGAGACTAAAGGTGGGCAGGAACATGTGAGCAGATTAACATGACATGACTTTTAAAAGGGGCAGAGTTCAGATCTGGGTGTCATTCTTTAAGGTTTGGGTTGCTACTCTTCCCCAAAGTCTATGTGTTGGAGGCTTGACTGCCAGCCATAGCCACTAAGGAGGTGGTGGATCCTCAAGGGATGCTCGGCCTAATGAGAGGACATCGTGTCATTGGGGTCATGACCTTGAAGGGGATATTGGGACCCACCCCAGGCTTTTGCTCTTCCTTGTTCCTTCCTGGCTACCATGAGATAGCATAGCTTCCACCACATGCCTCATCCCAGACCTCAACACAACCGAGACAGGTGACCCATGAATGGACTAACATTTCTAAAACTCTGAGCTACAAGCAATCTTTCCTCCTTTCAAGCTGACTATCTCAGGGATTTTGGGCATAATGGGTAGCTAATAGATTCTTTTATAGTGAAAGTCTCACTTATTAGAGTGATACCTTTTATGCTATTTGTGTCACTCCTCAATCATCAATCACCTAAGATGTATTGGTTGTTGGTATAAAAGAGGAGTTCCTACGACGGTGCCAAGCAAGTTGTTCCATTCATAGCATCATTCCGAGACTTGAGAGGTGATTAGCTTTTCTCCACAGGACGCAATAACTTATTACAGTGATTGTGTGGGAGATAAGTTGGTTTCCAGTTATATCTTTCTGTAGAAATGTGACCACAACTTGACATGCCTTCAGTTCATAATCCTATTCTAGCAAATTTGGTTGCCATTATGGTAGAATGGTCACACGGACAGTAATGGTGCCATTTTGTAAAAATATATAGGGAGTGAGCCACTGGTGTTCCATCTGCCTGCTCCTGCTAGCTGAGATCAGGCACAAGAATGGTGAGCTCAATCACTCTACCCACTACTCCAACATTCTAGGAGAATTGATGCTCTCCCACAGCTGTCTTTTTATCTGATCAAATCAACTTGAATGCCCCTTAGAAAGGCACACTCCATTCTTGATCTAGTTGTGAGAATAACTGAAGACTCTAGAGGCTAGAATCCAGGAAGCTATATTTTAACAAGTCCTTAGGTGATTCTTATCACAAGAACTAAATCCCTAAGCTGAGGTAAGATACTACAATCTCCAGAGAGAAACTGATTACGAATTTGCAAGTTTCATAAAGCCAGAGTTTAGGCCTTACTGGTTTTGCTCTTTGACATTTGAACCACTGGAATTCCACACCCTGCCCCGCTCACCTGAGTTCCTACTCAGCCCCTTCAACTTAGATTCAACCAACTCTCCACCTCGGAGGAACCAACTTCCTTACTTCTCTGGATGCAACTAGAACCCTGACTCTAGACACCTGTTTATTTTTTGAGGATCACTTTACCATACATTGTTCTTTTCTTTTGTCCTGGTTTTCTGTAAAGGAAACAAAAATGAAAGCCTGGAGACTGGAAATAATGTCCTTTCTATTAACATCTTTCCTATTAACATAATTTCCTTCCTTTCTTTCTTCCTTCCTCTCTCTTAACTTTCCTTCTCTTCTTTCCTTTCTTCTCTCCTCCCTCCCTCCTTCCTTCCTTTTTTTAACTTTCCTTCCTTCTTTCTTTCTCCCTCTCTCCCTTTCCTCTCTTTCTTCCCTTTATTTATTTATTCATTCATTTATTTATTTATTGCCAGTCATGGGGCTTGAACTAGGGACCTGGGCGCTGTCCCTGAGCCCACTAGTGCTCTACCATTATGAGCCACAACTCCTCCTCCGGTTTTCTAGTGGTTAATTGGAGTTCAAAGTCTCATGTACTTTCTTGCCTGGGATGGCTTTGCACTGTATCTCAGATCTTTGAACTCAGATCTCAGCCCCCCTAAGTAGCTAGGATAGTAAGCATGAACCACCACTGCCCAGCTATTTCTCTCTTTCTTTCCTTCTTTCTTTTCTTTCTCTCTTTTTTTCCTTTTAGGCCACTCTATAAGCTACCAAATGAGTACTACTACACAGAATAGATATTTCTACATGATCTATAAGTGAAAAAAAAAAGGGCTTTTGAAGTGAAAATGCATATACCCGACCCTATTTACACCTGCATTTGTGTTTTTAAACCTTTGGTATTTTTGACAGTAAAATACTAGAACTCTTTCATAAGATTGTGAAAATTAAATGAGAAAACAAACATAAGATGCTTAGTCCAGCATCCTGCACAAAATGAATGCACAATGGATCTTACCCATTGTTATTAAGCAGGGTTATTTTGTGTACATAGCCAGAGCTGGAGAAGTCCTGTGAATTAACCTGTTCAAAAGCTGCTTTCTTCCAGTGGAGAAAAACCAAAGCTCTCAGGGTTAAGATTGTCTTCCTCTATATTGAAGCAGCAAGGTTTTCTAAACCAAAATTTAATATTCTTTCAACTCTCCATTTTTTTGTTTGAATTCCTAACTGAGATGACTGAAATAACAGAAAAGCTGTGAGGCCAGTTGTTTCCAAGGGATGAGTTTTATCTAACCAGACTTGTAAATGACAGAATGAGAAGTCTGTGAAAATAATTCAGTAACAACATAGCATTTATCTCTTCTTGGGTGGTTTCTTTTGTTTCACTTGTATTCAATTACCTTATGCTCAAAGATTACACAATGTTCAAGGGTTTTGTCTGGTAAGAGTTAGCCATGAACTGAAAGTCATTGGAAAAATTTAAATTTCTATCCAATTAAAGGGAGGGGGAGGGGAGAGGTGATAGGAAACCAAAGAAAAGTTATCCTCGTCAGGAAAATTAAACTATGTGTCCGAAACAAAGCAATAGATGTGTGTCCATTTTGCATTCCTTTTAAGTATGTCTTTATATAATTTAAGGAGAAACAGTATCTTGCATCCTATGCATTTACTTTTTTCTAACAATTCATCTTTATCTACTTATAAGAGTAATTAGAAGACTTTTCGTTTAAACTGCCCATGTTTGCTAGCCATGATTAGATTCTCTCTCTTCAAATAATCTCTTATGGTAAACAATGAGGTAATGCTATGTGGCTTTTTGCTTGATATCACCTCAATTTATTTTTTTTTTTTTATAGTCACATTGGCATTCTGACCATGGAGCATGAGGATAGCGATGACTTCATTCTCGGGGATGAAGGCAGAATGATCTTAACCTTTCTATCATGTTCCTTTAACTCAGAGCACTAATGAAATTGAAGGGACTGATAAATAAAATTTCTGTAGAAAAAAAAAAAAGATGACATTGTAAAAGGCCACTTCCAAATTACCTCTCAAAAGGACAAAATGCAAGTCTTAGGATCCCAGTTCACAAACTCCTGCCTCACAGCTCAGGGAAAAGCTGCTAATTTTGTTATTGTTGTTGTTTTAGGAGAAACTCAAACTTTGAAGGACATAAGAATTTTCTACCTTAGTTGTTACAGAAAGGAAAAAAGAACTAATATTAAACAAAACTCCAGCAATTCAAAATGAAGCTCTGCTTAGAGGCAGATTATTCATTTTACTGTTTATTAATGGGATGCTGGGATGCTTCTATTAGCACAAACCTAAGTGGCGCTGTGGCTCAGGTGGTAGAGCAGAGCATTTGCCTTGAGCTGAAGAGCTGAGGGACAGCGCCCAGGCCCAGAGTTCAAGCCCCCAAACCAACAAAATAATACTTAAACATACAAAAAGGTTTGGAAAAAAATAGGTGTGCTGATACTGAGGCTTGAACTCAGGACTTTGAGCCTCACTCCGCTTTTTCACTCAAGGCTGGTTCTACCACTTGAGACACAAATTCCTCTTTCGTCCCTTTCTTTCTATTTTCACTCCCTGATTTTTGTTGTTGTTGTTATTGGATTTTGGACAGTTTTATTGTTTTGGGGTGTTGTTGTTGCTATTTTTACCATATTGTGCCTCAGAACTGATCATATTTTGAAGTCTGTATTTTTATCTTTTTCATATACAGGCCAACATTGGGAGCAAAGAAAAAAAAATCAGCACCATTTTGCTAAACCCGATTCACAGGAAGGAGGAAAGGTTTGTTAAGTAATATTCAGTATTTCCCTTTCCAAAATAAGTAACGAGGAGCTGGGGCTGGGGCTCAAGTGATGCAGCACCAGGCTGGATGAAAAAGCCAAGGGAGAGCTCCAGAGCCCTGAGTTCAAGCCCAGCACAGAACACACACACACACACACAAACTTAACCTCTTCCTTTGTGTCCTGTACGTTTGTAAGGACATTCAGCAGGTACACACCCAGCCAAAGCTACACACACACACACACACACACACACACACACACACACGCACAGAGCACACCTTGCTACAGCCAACCATCACACCTGGCAATGCCAAGCCATCACCCAAATCCCTGCTCCCTGTCCTCCAGAAACTCCCCTCTTTGCTCTCCTCCCCCTCCTTCCTCTCCCTTCCCCTCTCCTGAGCCTTCCCTTCACCTCCCTTCTCCTTCCCTGCCCTCTCTCCTCCCCCTCTCCCCTCACCCTCTCCCCTCCCCTCCCTACTCCTCTGCTCTCCTCTTCCTTCTCCTTCCCCCTTCCCTTCCCTCCCTACCCCACTCCCCTGTCCTCCCCTCCTCTCCCCTCCACACTCCTCAGTCCTCCCCTCCTTTCTCCTTGGCCTCTACTTTCCCTCTCGTCCCCTCCCCTCTCCCCTCCTCTCCCTTCCCCTCCACACTCCCCTGTCCTCCCCTCCTTTCTTCTCGGCCTCCACTTTCCCTCCCCTCCCTTCCCTTCTCCTCTCCCCTCCCCTCCCCACCCCACTCCCTTGTCTTCCCCTCCTGTTCTCCTTGGCTTCCACTTTCCCTCCCGTCCCTTCTCTTCTCCTCTCCCCTCTCCTCTCCCCTTCCCTCCCCTCCCCACTCCCCTGTCCTCCCCTCCTTTCTTCTTGGCCTCCACTTGCCCTGCCCTGCCCTGCCCTGCCCTCCCTGCGGCCCGGGCCCGCCCCGGCCCCCGCGGGCGCGCTCTCACCGCGTCCGCAGTCGCAGTAGCCCCAGTCCACCTGGCCGCGCGCGTTGCGGTGGAAGCACCAGGCTCTGCCCGCGCCGTCGGGGCTCCGGCACCGGTTGTGGCGCCGCGCCCGCAGCCGATGCCAGCCGGCGGGGGGCGCCCGCAGCAGGAGAGGCGGCACGTCGGCCCAGCGCAGGCACGGGGCGCCCCGGTCGGTGGCGTTGAGCCTCGGGTCGGCCGGGGGGCAGCGGCCGGACCGCGGGGCGCCGCGGGCGGCGGGGATGGCGCGCGGGGGGCGCGGGGCGCGCGGCGGGGCGGCCGCGGAGGGAGAGGGCGGGCGGCGCGGGCGGTGCTGGCGGGGAGAAGCGGGCGCCGGGTCAGCGCCCACCACTTCGGGGAGCACCCCGAGCACCAGCGCCAGCACCAGGCGGGCGGGCGTCATGCTGCCGGCGCGCCGGGGTTTGGTCCATGCTCGCCGGGCGCCTCGGATTCCGAAGGGGAGGAGAAGGGGGCGGGGCGCGGCCGCGGCGTCCCGGGGACCCCCCCCTCCCCGCCCTTCCCCGCCCCCTCCCCGCCCCCTCCCCGGTCCCCGCGGACCCCAGCCCCCTCCCACCCACCGGGGGGCCACGCGATCCCGAGCGCTCCGAGACCCGCTGCGGGGAGGACCCGCGAGGAGAGGGCGGCGGGGCGGCCGCGAGTGGCCGGGCTTGGGGTGCAGGTGGCGGGCAGAGGCTCCAGCTCGCGCACGGGGCGCGGTGTCACCGCCATCCCGACCTCCGATCGAGGCCCAGCTGCCTCGATCCCCCGCACCAGCTGGGGTGCGGCGCCCGAGCCGGAGCCGGAGCGTGCCCAGGCAGGGGACGAGCCCTCTGCCCTTCGCCAGCGGGCAACACCGGCGTCTGGCGGCGCCCCAGGCTGGCCCGGGGCCCAGTGGTCATCTCTCCTCCACCCCCGGGCTGCGTGTTGTTTTCTGTGTTTTGAAATAGTTGGAGAAGTGTGCAGGGACTTCCAAACAACGCCCTTCCCGCGCCTCTGCCAGAGTTCCCCGCGCCCATCGGGAAGGGGGAGGGGGAGGGGGCATGTCAAGGACAAGTCCGAGTCTCACTCAGCCACCTTGGCATCCCCTCCCAGAGCCAGCTTAACACTGACCTCCATCCACACGGGCTCATATTAAATTCCTGAACCGACCCTGGCAAAGGAGCCCTGAGCCTTTCTGCTTCCTGCCTCCCACTCTCCACCCGCTGCCCCGGACCACACCAGGTGTGTGGTTATTATTGGGATTCGGTGAGGGAGGCTCTCTTAATACCAAATTTCCTCTCCATCCGTCCTGCTCTCCATCCCATCCAAAAAGTCCATCCTTCCAGCACCTGCCTCGCTTTTTACAAAGCAAGGGACTCGAGTTAACCTTCTGCGTGTATTTGCCACAGGAAAGTGGAACTCTGCCCGTGGGTAGTTTGGTAGCTACTGTTGGCTTGGCTCTTGCTTACTATAGTCCTTCCAACTCCAAAACATATGTTTGCTTAGATCCTTTTTTTTTTTCTTTTAAATTGATCCCATACCAGGCATCAGTGGCTCATGCTTGTAATCCCAGCTACTCAAAGAGGCTGAGATCTGAAGATGGCCCTTGGAAGCTGGCCAAGCAAAGTCCAGGAGACTTTTCTCTCCAGTTAACCAGCCAAAAGCCAGAGGTGGAGTTATGTTGCTAGTTTTGAGGGGGAAAAGCTCAAGAACAGTGCCCAAGCCCTGGGTGCAATCCTTAGTACCAACACATAGGTGCACACAAAGCTGGGTGGAGAGGGAGAAGACAGTAATGTGATTTCCTGGTAGGTCTCTTTGAATGATAACTAATTGCCTTTTCTTCTCTCAACAAGTTATGTCCCTGAAAAGCCAGCGGAATACTCACCATGGGAGTGTGGGTAAGCATAATGGATAGTTTCAAACCTCAGCTTTGCAAGTGGGCCTTGGCTACATTGAACAAGCAAACAGTGGGAAAAGAAGCAGTACAGATTGCTTGCAAGTGACTTGGGAATCACAGAATTCTTGTTGAAAAGACTTGGGAGTTGTAACTTCCTGTCACATAGAGCAATCCTATCCAGAACTTGCTGACAAGTGGACTTCCATCTATTCCTTGAAAACTAATCAGGGGGGAAAGTCCAGCTAGGAAGCCAGCATACTTCATCTCTAGGAAGTTCAAACTCTCTGAAAAAATGTTCCCTTCCACTGAGCCAGAAGTTTCCTATAGGTTAGAAAGCCACTTCATCTAGCTGGGATACTGTGTCTACCTCCAAATTGATTTGATTAGAAGGTAATAGCTGTGGACTCCAGCAGACCTGGGTTCAAAATCCTGTCATTTATTTGCTTTATTTACTTTCTCCCCTCTTCCTCTTCAAATGCTGACATGGAGGGAGAGGTCAGGAAGCACTCACTGAGGGAGATGTAAATGAATTAGTAATGAGGATGAACTCTTCAGTTCACCTTTTTGTTTTGCTAAACTCTGGGCCTGGGCACTGTCCCTCAGCTCTTCAGCTCAAGGCTAGCACCCTACCACTTGAGCCGCAGCACCACTTCCAGCTTTTTTCTGCTTAGGTGGTGCTGAGGAATCGAACCCAGGGCCTCATGCATGCGAGGAAAGCACTCTACCACTGAACCACCTTCCCAGCCCCTCAGTTCATATTTTATTCGGTGTGTTTTCCCCTGCTTCATCTGAGGAGTGTGTGTGTGTGTGTGTGTGTGTGTGTGTGTGTGTGTGTCTGTCTGTCTGTCTGTCTGTCTGTCTGTCTGTGTCTATCCCTGGCCTAGGGCTTTAAGGTAGAGCCTAAGCACTGTCCATGAGCTTTTGTACTCAAGGCTAGCATTCTACCACTTGAGCGACAGCTCCATTTCAGGTTTTGGGGGGATTCATTGGAGATAAGAGTATCACTGTCTTTCTTTCACTGCTGACTTCAAATCACAATCCTCAGATCTCAGCCTCCTGAGTAGCTAGGATTACAGGCAGGCATGAGCCACCCTGCTTGCTCAGCTCATCTGAGCAATCTTAAAACCCATTAATAAAGCTAAATTTAGGATAGGTCACAATGAAAGGAAGAGAAACAGCTTGCTGTTTTGGCCTGACAACTAGGAAGCCATTTCAGAGTCAGGGCCAAAGCCCAGACTATTGCCAGTTTGCATTTGCCTGGGGAACTCACAGAATGGAGATAGAAAACATGGAGACAGGACTTAGAGATTGAAACTTCTTTTTTTTTTTTGGTTGGGGGGGGGTCCGGTCATGGGTCCTGAACTCTGGGCCTGGGCACTGTCCCTCAGCTCTTCAGCTCAAGGCTAGCGCTCTACAACTTGAGCCACAGCGCCACTTCCGGCTTTTTTCATTTTGCTTTATGTGGTACTGAGGAATCAAACCCAGGGCCTCAGGCATGCAAGGCAAGTGCTCTACCACTGAGCCACCTTCCCAGCCCCTAGAGATTGAAACTTCTTCACACCCATCAATCACTGCTAACCTCTCTGAATATAATATAATATAATCTCTTGCTTGCTTGTCGGAGATAAGGAGATAACAATTCAAGTTCACAAACTTGTAAGTATTAGAACTTTTATTTCAGGTGCTAGGCACCGAGAAAATGTCTAATGTCTATACATACAAAGAAAATTATCAGAGTTCTGCTTTTCTAGAATAGACCATCATTCTTCTTACCATTTTTCAGTTTTTGTGCCATGTACTAGAATTGTTTCTCTGATTAAACGCAAACATAAACTGTAGCTCATAGAACTAACAAAAATATCTCTGTATAGATTGTAATGGAGAAATGTTGGCCATATTTCAAATGTCATGTTCTCATTGTAACCATGTAACCTTGTACATCTAATAGATGGACTTTATACAATAAGCACAAAGTAACCTAAAAATTCATCAACTTCAGTGGTACTCACTAAACACTATGTTGAAAGTGAACTATACAGCTTGTGGGTAGAGACTAGGAGAGAGCCAGGGAAGGGGTGACATTGTCCAAAAATAAAGGTACTCATGACCCGTATGCAAGTGTAACGTCCTTTGTACAACTCCTTTATAATAATAAAACCAAAATTCAAAAACTGCATCAGTGGTCTTGACAAAACTCCTCACATCCTTTAAAGCCCTGTTCAAACTGTGAAATTTCCTCAAAATTCTGCTCTCAAAATACATTCTAGTACACACTGTATGTCAAATAGGGAGTTCGAGTCTGGCTCTGACCCGTCCTGGCCACATGGTAGATGGTGGAGTCTGGCATCTTGTCTTTATGGTGGGGGAAGATGAAGCATGGCTGAATCCCTGGAGGCTGGGCTGTGCACCTTGGCTGATAGGTTACTAAACCTGTCAGTCCAGTGCGTGGGAATGGGAGTTTCCAGTGACCCTCCCCCTAACCTGACCCCATTTTGTTGTTGTTTTTTTTTTAATTTAATTTTATTTTATTTGAGAACATACTGTACAGAGGGGTTACAATTACATGGGCAGGATAATGCATACATTTCTTACCAAGCATTGCAGCCTCCTCCTTTGTTTACCCTTCACCTCCCTTCCCAGCCTCCCCCCTCCCCCCCACCCAATCCTACCCCCCCTGCCCCCCACACCGACATTGTAAGGCTCGTTTTTGACATGACATTTTGTACTTCTCATTGTTGCAACAGGTCCACCTGAATCCTTAAACGACTTGTTTGTCCCCATCTCCTCCACAAGTTATACTGACATCAAATATAGTGAAAGCGGGGGTTACACTGTGGGGGAGGGACATACAAAGCAACAAAGAAATAATCTTATAAATGTGTTAGAAACACATGCATGAAAGAAAAAAAAACATTAAAATACATATTTAAGGGATCGTTTTCCTAACATCACATTATCTGACCTTTTCCGCTTGACTCATACATATACTAGATATTGTATATAAGGGAAACCATGGGACCTATGTTTCTTTGGGCCTGGCTTACTTCACTTAATATAATTTTTCCAAGTCTTTCCATTTCCTAACAAATGGGGAAATTTCATTCTTTCTGATGGAGGCATAGAATTCCATTGTGTATATATACCACATTTTCTTGATCCATTCATCTACTGAGGGGCATCTGGGTTGGTTCCATATCTTAGCTATGGTAAATAATGCTGCAACAAACATAGTTGTGCTGGTAGCTTTAGTGTCCTGACCCCATTTTGGCTGGGACCACTTCAGGCACCTTTATGCCATGCCACGTGTCTCCATGCATGTGTCCTGTCTCCTCTGTCCTGGCTCTTCCCTGGTCACTATGGCTTCTCAATTCAGCTCTCTCTTGGAGCTGAACTGGTTTGTTGGTATTAGTTTTGTTCTTTCTTTCCTCTCCGGCCATCATAGTTCAGTTTCCTAATAGGGTTAAGTGTACTTGCTGGCTGCTGATCGTTGAGAGAAGAGTCCACCGTACAGTCACCGGCCTTTTAGT